AGGAGCAATTTCTGGTGTGGGAGGGAAACAGAAATGGGGTGGTGGAGAGGCTATTTGCGGTGGTGAAGGGGAACTTTTAGGAGGATAAGTCAATTGGGCTTGTGGGGGTTGGGGGTGTTTGGCCGCATTGGAAGGGACAGAGAAGCCAACAGAGGAGTGGAGTGGTGGGTCAGCAGTTTTTGGTAACGGGTCATTTGGTCTTGTTGGCAATGGATCATCCAAATTGGGGTTGTTTAAAGATGTGAGCTTTCTGCTCATGAGTTTATTATGACTACTGTAATTGCTCTCTTTCGGGTTGGTGAGGATCACATTGATCTTGTTGAGCTCGGAAAAACCGAGCTTTTTCATGCACTCTGAGTGAGACGACACCAACCTCATGGTTTCATCAGGTAAAGGAGAGAACTTTGGAGGTGGGTTCACAGAGTAAGTGGAATTCGCGGTCTGAAGGAACTCCAAAACTGGTTTGGTGAATTTGTGTGCGAAATCACCATTAAAGTACGTGGAATGTGGGTTTAAACAAGAGGACGAAATTGAAGCCGAGACCTTGATATCTTTCTCCAAACCCCACCTTGTGAGGGAATGACGAATGTTCTTGAGAGATGGCAAGACCATAGAGAGATTGTTAAGCTCCTGGTCTTTTTCGCAAAGAAGATTGTTTCCGACAACAATGGTGGCGATTCCAGTGGCGGGGTAGTGAGCCAGGACATAGGTCCTTAACCAACTTTCCGCCATTAAAACACTTCTTGAGACCTCACGGAGGTCTCTAGTACTTACAGAAACGGCAAGCCCAGAGTAAGTTGAAGCCTGAGGAGCCTCTGAAGTTGCAGTGTAGAGATTAAAGAGTTGAATAGATTCTTGACCAGCAACTACATTAAAAAGAAAGACAAATGGTAAGAAGAGAGAAGAATGCACAAAACTACAAAGTAAAGGAAATCATGAATGACTGAAAATAAATGACTTAGCTTTACTTACCAGTAAGACCTAAGAAAGACAAAAAGAAGATTTGAAAGATCAACAACACCATCTTCAACTTCAACATTTTTTGTTTTGGCTGTGTTGTGTTGGACTGACTAGGATATCAAAGAAGAGAAGGGAAAGCTAATATAGTGATGTCTCTAAATGCACAAAAACATCAATGTATAAATATGTGCTTTTCTTGTGTTTGTGTGTGTGCGCGCGCGTGAGAAAGAGAGAGAGAGTAAAGCAAGGGTTAGAGGAGAAAACAAGCAAGTGGATTCTCGGCCATAAATTTTCTCCACAGTCTGTATAATGCTGCTTTTACTGGTCTTACTTAACGTACAATAAAATAAAATAATATAAAAAAATTGCCCTCTATATAAATATAAGAAGATGTTTGGTTCATGGATTAAAATTATAAAATTAAAATTATTTTTAATTTATGTGTATTTTTTATAAAAAAAATACTGTAATAAATTATGAACTATAATTTAAATTGGGGTACGAATTCCTTAATCAAACAACCCCTTAGTTTTACTACCCAGGAGGACAAACTACAACGGCTATAAAGGGAGAAATTTTGTTTGAGGTTTAAGAAAAAAAATAAAAAATTGTTTTTGGGTTAATAAAATAAAAATGCCTAGAGCACGATGGATGTTAAACACCATCATTACAGAAGATGAACCTTATTTGTAGATTACATATTGAAAACTGCTTATGGATACCACTAGTATTGAACACTCCGTTGATAAAAGATGTGTCTCACTTATGAGATTTATATTATGGGATGAGGATTCACTTTTTATTAGTGGGTGTTGTTTAACATCATCAGTATCAAATAATATTATTTTCACATATAAAATAATATTATAAGACACTAATAGTGTTTTCGATAGAAAATGAGTTTTAAATCATAAGGATTACAATTAAAATTCATATTCTATTAATAATAGTACTTAATATTAGTGTTGTCTTAAACATTTTTTCACACATTATGGACATGTAGACATTAGTGCTCAATATTACTGGTGTTCTGTGCTAATAAGCTTATGAGGATTTGGCCAAGGGATTAAATTTTAAAAACTGATATTTATCTCCTAAAAAGAATAAAACCTCATAATCATGAAAGGGTGGGTCTCACTGAATTATGTATCATATACCCATATAACGAGATCCACCGTGAGTGGCTCTGTTTTAACTTTATGAACAAATATGGGTGCTCTAATAGCCTTATTAAGATCTCGTTTATTTTATTAATTTAATTTTTTAATTTTAATTTTTTATAATAAAAAAGTTTTAAAAAATATCACATTTTATTTTTTTTATTACAGTGAAAATTTTAAATTAAAAATTTGAATTCACAAAGCGAAAGAGCCTAATTCCTCGTTTAGGCCTCATTTGTTTCGCTGATTTTAGTTTAGAATTCGAGTTAAGATGTGATTATATGTGAGAGTTTTTTACTGTAGCAAAAAAGTTAGATGTGATTGTTTGTGAGAGCTTTTTACTGTAGCAAAACTCGAATTCTAAACTCGAATCAGCGAAACGAACGAGGCCAGAATTTGAGTTTTTAATTCAAGCTGAGATGTAACATCTTTTGAGAACTTTTAATTGTAGTAAAAAAAGTTAAATATGACATTTTTAAAAAAAAATTAACTGTAAAAACTTAAAACTGAAAATTTAAATCAGTGAAAATTCAAATGAACGAGAGACCTAAGGCCTCGTTCATTTCACCGATTTAAGTTTTTAGTTCTAAATTTTTACAGTAAAAAGTGATCAAAAAATGTTACATTTAATTTTTTTTGTTACAATAAAAAACTCTCAGAAAATATTATATCTCAATTCGAATTGAAAACTTAAAATCACTAACCGAACGAGGTCTAAGGGCCCGTTCACTTAGTTAATTTGAGTTTTTTTACAGTAAAAAATTATCATAAATAATCATATTTAATTTTTTTACTATAATAAAAAACTCTCATATAAAATTATATCTCAAACTTAAATTTTAAATTCAAATTAACAAAGTGAACCAAAAGATATTATCCTTGAACTGAATAATGGGACACGTGGAAGCAGAAGAAAAGGTGTAGTATGGGAAGTGTGAGGGCATGACAAAGCTTAAGACACGAAAACCAACAGAAGGACTGTACCTCTGTCCCAACCCCCTAACAGACTGTAGAGATGTAAACAGTAAAGAGACTTGTCGTTCTCTCGTGGAGTCGGAGATTTTTAATTTTATGTTTTTTCCTTTTTCTGTCATTTCATGTCTTACTTGATTGGTTGAACAGGACAACTGGTATAGCTGGATAGCATGAACAAGAACGAAAGGCAAAGTTCACTATGGAAACGACGTCGCATTAGGCACTAACAAAGTGGATAGTCAACATAGCCGTTTTCTTATAAAAGACGAGCAAATGATATTCTATCAGAAGGAAAAAAAAAAAAAAAAAAAGTGGCATAATTGATAGTATCCATGGCCAAGAAAGGCACAGGTCCCATGGGGACAGAAATGATAAACTAAAAAGAAAAGGACAAATTGATTGGACAGACAGTGGGGCCACTTCAAATGAAAGAATTGGGAGCTTGTGGGCCACACCACCACAGACGAATACAGAATACAAATTACAATGGAGTGGAGGAGATGAGAGGATGACTGGCAGACTTGATTTCCAAGTAAAGCTAGAAATCAAAACATGGCAAAATGGCCATTTACTCGGATACTTAAGGCCATTTAGTTCGCTTATTCGAATTTTTAATTTAAATTAAGATATAATTTTATATAAGAGTTTTTTACTGTAGTAAAAAAATTAAATGTGATTATTTATGAGAGCTTTTTACTGTAGTAAAACTCGAATTCTAAACTCGAATCAGCGAAATGAACGTAGCCTAATTATTCTTTTGCAATAAAATTTTAAAAAAATTTAAATTTAAGTTACAATTTTATTTAAATTCATATTTTTTTTTATAAAATTTGAGTTTAAATTTAAATTTAAATTCAAATTTAAGGTTAAATTTGAGCTCAAGTTTTTTTTTTCAACTCGAGTTTAGAAACTCAAACTCAAATTAATAACAGTATTTTTCTATTTTTAAAAATATCATAACTTTTTCGTTTTAATTCTGATTGAGATTATTTTTTTTTTATACATTTACAACGAAAAGACGAATAAAACCCCACCCATATACCCTATTAAAATTTTTTTATCACTATTGAGTTTTTATTAAAATACTATCTAACTACGAATTTAAGTTTTGATTCACTCAAATACAAACCTAAAGGCCACGTTCATTTCGCTGATTCGAGTTTAGAATTCGAGTTTTGCTACAGTAAAAAGTTCTCACAAACAATCACATCTAACTTTTTTACTATAGTAAAAGGCTCTCATATAAATTCACATCTCAACTCGAATTAAATCATAACTCAAATGTGCACATCCAAACACAAACTTAGGCCTTGTTCACTTCGCGGATTCGAGTTTTTAATTCGAGCTGAGATGTGACATTTTATGAGAGCTTTTTACTGTAGCAGAAAAAGTTAGATGTGACATTTTCTGAGAACTTTTTACTGTAGAAACTTAAAACTAAAAACTCGAATCGGTGAAATGAACGAGACCTTAAATTACAACTCCAATTCAAATTATAACTCAAATTCAACTTAAAATCATCACTTAATCATCTTAACTCAAAAATATAAAAAAATAACCTCCGGAATTTCTCACATACACCCCTATTTTTAGGCCTACTGGTAGGTTTTTTTTACCTGAGTTCATTTGGTTGGAGAATTCAAACTATGTGATTTAAATTATTTTTAATTTATGTATATTTTTTATGAAAAAAAATATTATAACGAACCATGAATTATAATTTGAATCAGAGAACGAATCCCTCTTTCAAACGCAAGTTACCGCTCGATTAAAGTCCTGCGGTGTGTAAATGAGAGCGTATCTGTATCATAAGTCAAATGTACTATGTCAATCTTACCCTAACTGGTCTAGGTAACTAGTACAAGCCTCCTCTAATTGTAGACCCTACCTTTTTATTCAATGGGAATTCATCTTGTGGGCCCCACTTTTAATTTTTTTTTCATTTTTGTTTTGCTCCCAAAACGTTTGCTTTTCTGATCTGTTTCTTTCCACTTGTGTCTCAACTTTCAAACCCAGAGAAAAAAAAAAAAAAAAAAAACTCTTTGTTTGGCAAGAAAGAGAAGACCCGTTTAGTTCGTTGATTTAAATTTTTAATTTAAGTTAATATATAATTTTATATGAGAACTTTTTATTATAATAAAAAAATTAAATGTGATTATTTATAAAATTTTTTTACTGTAATAAAACTCAAATTCTAAATTTAAATCAGTAAAATAAATAAGATCAAAATATAGAAGAAAATATGACTAGTGTTGTAGGGAAAAATTCCACACTCTACATTAGACATTAAATGAGCGTCACGTGGTACAACTAGAGGATTACTAGTCATGAGAGCTCAACATCAAGTATTCATAAAATTAGACTCGATCGTACAGAGGTGTTAAGATAAGTGAGAAGTCGACTGCATGACTTGGTAAGTGCCTAAGAAGTCGACGCAATCCAAAAAAAGCTGAACCTGTAGGATATTTTATGTGACTTAGCAAGTAAAATTGATAGGAGAGCAGGTAAAAAATCACAGTTGACCGGCAGAAACGCCGAGACTACATCCAAAAATATAGAAATAATGTGATAGTGTAATGAGAAAATGTGACGATGGAAATGATAAATATTAAGGGAGGATAGAGCAAATATATAAGTGAAAAAATGACGAGCCAAATGGCTCTAATTCTGTAACTTGTATTCTCAAAAGATAGTAAAGATTTTATCATTCTCATAATAGATGTAGCTCTTAAATAAAAGAGTGAATCATTATAAATTTTAGACTCTGTTTATTTCACCGATTTAATTTTAAATTTTAAGTTTTATTACACTAAAAAATTTTTAAAAACAGTCACATTTAATTTTTTTACTAAAATAAAATATTCTCACATAAAATCACATCTTAACTTAAATTAAAATTTTAAATCAGCGAATTAAATAGTCATTAGTGTTTTTTCTTTTGTTGATCTTTAAAAAACTTCTCAAAGCATAATTAAGTCGTTACAATTACATTAATCACCACTAAATCTAAATTAATCTATTTGATGAAATTTTACCGTCAACGGCTAGCATATGCGTATGAGAAAAGGAGAAAAGTAGTGAGTTTGAAGGTGTTTTTTCCGTTCACTTCGCTGATTTGAGTTTGTAATTCGAGTTGAGATGTGATTTTGTGTGAAAACTTTTTACTGTAGTAAAAAAATTAGATGTGACTGTTTCTGAGAGCTTTTTACTGTAGCAAAACTCGAATCAGCAAAATGAACGAGGCCTTTGTTTTTCTCTTCTTGCTCAAATCACCCATAGACCAAAACTTCTGATTCCTCCTTAAAAAAAAAAGGTAATAAAACTAATTATTCCAAAAGCTTATCCCCGCCATTGGAGTGGAAAATCTGGGCATAAACTCACAGATTTCTGTTTTTCTCATTTGGATTCGCCAAAGTTTCATGAATAAATATCAATGAATCCCTATAGAGAGTTAGGACTTGGGAGGCAGCATACTCATGGTTCATGCTTTCACTGTGAAGTGAAGGTGGAAGCCATGGATTTGGTGACTCAGGGAAGACTTCTTTCAAGATCAATAGATGGGAGAGGATAAAATCTTAGGGAGAAGATGAGCTTCCATTTGCAGAGGAGAGGTCATGTAAAAGATCGTGCCACGTGACAATATTTTTTTATTACATTTCAATTCTACTATGATGTGGAAAGGTCATGTAAAGATCGTGTTGCCTGAGTTTTGTATCCAATAGAAACGTAGTCAATCTATTTTTTACACGTCCTACCGGTAGGACTAAACCGATTCAAAATCAATCATTTTTTTTGACAGAGCAAACACAATCATTTTTATCGATTTTGTTTTTTTTTCCAGAATTTGGTTTCCAAAATCATTACTTAAAGATCGTTTAGTTTCTTAATTCGAATTGAGATGTGATTTTATATAAGAATTTTTTTATTATAGTGAAAAGGTTAAATGTGATTATTTTTAAAATTTTTTTACTGTAGTAAAACTCGAATCGCTAAAATGAACGGGGCCTTAATCTAACGGTTTAAAATGTATATTCAAATCTTAATTTTTTATTTTAATGGTTAAACTTTTAATTTTTTGATAAAAGAAAAATACTATATCAGAATTAATAATTTGAGTTTGAGTATATAAAACAAATGAACAGTTATACACGGTTCAAACCATGATCTTAGTTCTCCTATAGTGTTTTTCTTTTACAAAGAATTTAAGAGCTCGTCTATACTCATTCCCCGTTCATTTCACCGATTTGAGTTTAGAATTCGAGTTTTGCTACAGTAAAAAAGCTCTCACATAAAGTCATATCTCAACTAAAATCAGCAAACTAAACTGGCCCTCAAACAATGCTTCTTGATTCTAAAGTTTAAAACTCTAAATTTTATGAGAGGAAAATACTGTAGCAGAATCAATTATTTAATTTTGAGCATATAAAATAAACCGGCCTTAAATTTTAAAAGTCAGCATCATAAATTGTAATTTGAACTCATAAACCAAACAGACCCTTAGGGTGTTTTTAGTTGCAGTGAGGGAATGGTAATTGGAATGTAAATAAGAATAATAATGGAATAAAATGAAAAAGAAAAATGATTCATCTGTTTGATTCTACTTTTACAAATGCAATGAAATGAGATATGAATATTTTCATGTTGACAAAATTACCCCTCATGTTAATATAACTAATATTACATATATTAATATAATCATTTAATAACTAATATTATTTATATAATTATAAGGATATAATATATATAAATATAATTATAGTTATATAATATTTATTATTATAATACAATCATAATACATAATATAATAAAATAATGATATTGTAATTATTTTATATCATAATGTTATAACTATACTATATTATATTATTAGAAATATAATATAATTATAAAAATATAAAAATATAATATAATATAACATATTATAATTATAATATATAATATAGTATATTATCATTTCTAATTATAGTATATTATCTATTATCTATTATAATATAAATTTATATTGTAATTATAAAAATACTTAATTATAATATTATAAAATATAATATCTGAATATAATTATAATATTAAATATTTAAAATAATATTTTTTAAAATAAAATAAAATAAAATAATATTATGCATAAAATATACAGTTATTATATTTAATTTTATAGAAAATACTACTATCCCAATTATTATTATAATTATTTGTTACAATATCACAACTATATTATATTATAATGATAAATATAATTACAATGTATAATACATAATATAATATATTATTATAATATTAAATGTGGTATATTATAATATACGTATATAATTATAATATATTTTATTATATGTTATAAGATATAATTACATTATAATATAAATTATTATAATATAACATTAATTATATTATAATTATTATATTTATAATTATAATATTTAAGGGTAATGATGGAAAATAAAATTAAAAGAGCTTGGAATGAGTATTTCTTTCGTATGAAGAACGAATGATGATTCACTCATTTGATGAAAAAGTCATTCTATTTTGAATGATCATTCATTTTCTTAAAACCAACAAAATATAAGAATGAACCTTAATTCATTTTCATTCTTTTCTATTCCTCTAACTAAACACACCCTTAATTAAAGACTTAGAATGGGAAAGATAGAAAAATCCTTTCGGCAGAGGGTGATAATAATAGTGCCACAAAAGATAAGAGTGTATGCTAGAAAAACAAAAAAAAAAAAGAAAAAAAGATTCCAGGTAAGTTTTCTATTTTTTTTAATTTTGATATGATTATGATTAGAGCAGCAAGTATGAGCCGGCGTAAACAGGTTAGCTCAAGATTAGTTACTGTTAACTTAGGTTCGGCCCGACACTGATCTCCAAATTGGAGTTTTGAGCCCGAAAACTTATTTGGGTGGCTGCAAGCCTAAGTACCCTCTATTTAAAAAAATAAAAATAAAAAACCTTAAAAATTTTGCACCGATCCAAAATTTCCATTTTAACTCCAACAAAATCACCATATTCAATTCCCAGACATCCAAAATAACAAAATAAGTTTATTGTTGAAAATAAACTTGAAAAAATAGCTCAGATCTGATGAAATATCCAGATCTTCAAGCCTATTCTGTCTTCCAATGTAAACCGATCGACGATCTGATGAAATTCTCAAATCCGATGAATCCCTTAGCGGCACTCACATTCCTCTTTCTATCTCAGTTTTTCATCAGCCCACTCGCAAATCAAATAAAACAACGAAACCCAGATCAAAGTTCAAACAATCGGGAAGGAGGAGAACACATTTCTCTAAAGTTTCTTCATCATTTCTGCAACACCAGGGACAAAAGAAGATGGGACGTGGTCTGGGTAGGTGAGAACACAAACAAAGAAAGAGAGAACGATGAGTAATTGACTTAGATTGAGCTCCTTCCTCGTCGCGAAATCGAGCGGCTCCACCGCCGTGAGATCGAGCCCTCCTCCTCCGTCGCCAGATTGAGCCCACCATTCGCTGCCCAGCCCAACCCTTTGCCCCTATGGCGCCGTCGCAGCACTCCCTCTAGTAGCTGTCAGTTAAATCATCTTCCATTAATTTTAGTATTCATGTTTTATGGCCACGGAAATGAAAAAAGGGGGGGTAACTTATGCTTTTACGTTTTGAACCGTTTTAAAAAATGAAGGGTATTTCGAAACGGCATTTATAAAAATAATCCTTTTATGGTTTAAGAATCAGACGTGCTTATAGAGTGGATGTAATAATGCGACCTCAACAATCCTTCCACTGTTCGAAATTGATCCCGCGGAGATGGAAATAAACATCGGGCATTTAAATTCTATGTCCGCAAACCAATGGTCCCTATAGGACACTAGGATATAGAACCGCCCTTTATATATATATATATATATATATATCTCTCTCTATTGGCGTTTTTTATCTTGATTTCTTCTCTAAAGTTTAAGGTGGCAAATAAGGCGTCATGAAATGAATATAAAAATTTTGAAAACCCAAAAAGTTCTTAAAGAAAGAATTAGACATATGCCATTGAGTATTACATACTCCCTTTTATCATAGGCATGTGAACTTTGCAGGAATGGGCCTATCTCAAAAAAAAAATAATAATAACAATAATAAATAAAAAATAAAAATCCCTCAACATCAAAAGAATAGCAAACCAGCAAAATAAAATGCAAATAACTTTGGGTGTAATCCAGGAAGCATGAGAGGAATTATGTCACTTCAGATCATAAGGGTATAAAAAATATTTAACTTTATCATATCACAAGGGTAAAAAATATTCAACTTTAACAAAAAATAAAGAAAAAACATAGAATAAATTGTGCAGGGTCTCATAGCGGCTTCTAGTATATACGTGGTTGACATCTCCGAAAATGCAATGAACATGTTTCTTCACATAACAGAAGTCCAAAAATCTCCTCATATCACAACACTAATTTTAACTCTTTCTTCGGTCTCTGAGAGTAAAGTTATCAATCTTACGCTTCTTCCAGATAGTTCCAGTAGCTCATGCCACAAGAAAAGCCCATAAATCTTACGCTTAAGGAATCTTAAACATAGCTGGCATGCTGAACAAAATGCCTTTTAACTCCAAATGCGCCTCTCTACGGCCTGGAGAACTATGATAAAATTAAAAAATGCCTCAAACAACTCTATCATATTCACATGTACATTAAACCAAAAATTTAATTAAAAAAACTCCATTGAACGTCATGCAACTCATCTATTGAGTTGCAAACCAAGACTATTCCTCATATTTTTCCTTCCTAAAGAAAAGTTCTTACGGAAACTGAATACCACTTGTATTTATGCGATGAGAGGCCAAGAAAAAAAATCAAATGAATGCTCACTTTTCGTGTTTCACCGTTTTATCAAGATTCCAACATTACCTATATGCATTCCTAGACAAGGCAACTACACTTGTAGAGGGATCTAAAGCTTGTTTCAAATACCTTATCCCATCACTTATCTAAGCCCCAAATCCCTAAGAACCTAGCTATTCCTAGAAACTCACGGCATTATTTTCTAATAGCCTATGCTGATGATGCATAAGATAATAGAGCAGATTATTCCAATATTTTTGCAAGACAAAAAATTTCACTAGAATCTTGTAGGACTCACTTTTTATATATCTTTGTACAATAACTGATATTTCGGAATTCGATCAGGTGGCAGCGGACAATTCACAATCAGCTTGCCTTTCATGGCCCCTCTAAATATTGCCTGCAAGAAAATGCCAAGAAAAGTCATCCCTCAGCAAACACATTTCCGAAAAAACATATGCAAAGCTCATCTTGAGTTATGTCAAATTGTCAAACGAAGGGGAAAAGCTATAAAAGGAACCCCAAAGCAATAATCACCAGCATTCGGTGAAAAGTGTTAGTAAAGAATTCAAAAACTGCTATTGTATTATTAAATCAAACAATTATCTTCTCATCAAAAAGATCGCAGAGTACAGAAAATTGTTATGTACCTCTACAACGTCGATGAAATCCTGCTTTTGGCGAAATACACCAACCCATTTAGTATGATCCGCGGTACTACATCACAATCAAAGAACATTAACCAAAAATTATTTGTTCTAAGAATTAAAGATCAATTAATTACGAAAAAAGAGTTATTTCCCCCGCTTTTAAGAAACAAATTCCTTTTCTTCTACAAAATCCATCCACACAATTCGTCTATCATTCGCAAAAATCAGAATTTCATGACAAGATTAAAGCATGTGCATGAAATTCCATCGAATTGCATTATAACAAATTAGGAGGAAAAAAAAAACCAAGTTCAAATTCAAGTTTATCGCTATGATTTCGTGAATATAAAAAAGGGGATTCAATTCCTAAATCATCCAATAATTACCTCTAATTGAGGCGAAATTACGAGAAAATATGAAACGGAAAAAGAAAATTCAAATAGAGAAGTAATAAATACCCAGAATCCATCTTCATATGATGAGCATTGAAGAAAAAAACCGTCGACGGAATCAACGAAATGTCGAAATATTTGATGTAAACTTGAATGTCCTCAGAATCAATATCAACGAGAGCGATGCTCGCGAACTTGGAAACTTCACGAGCAGATTTAGCAAGCTGTGATGAAGGAGAAGAGAAATTTGAAAACAAATAAAGAAATTAGAAAATAAGGAAAAATCTGAGATTCCCGTAAGGAGTTTGAATGACGAACAAAGAAGAGAGGACATACGACGTCGTCGAGAAGGAGACAGGCCTGATCGGGAGAACGGCCGAAGCGGAGGACGAGGACTTTGTCGATGGTGTCTCTGATTATGGAGTCCACTTCTTGCTTCTTCGTCAGCGTTCTCAGTAGTAGGTAACTCATTCTCCCTCTCTCTCTCTCTCTCTACAAACTGCGGTTATAGGTTTGGTTTCTGGTTATAGTGGTTATGTTGGGGCTGTAATTCGGTGTGACTCGCCCCACCCAGCTTGCCATAGTACCACGACGATTTGATCATCGCAAGAGAGATGAACCTCTACAGCTCGGGGGTAAATGTAGAATTTGGCCAAATTTCGAAGTACACTTTTTGAAAATTTTTTATTGTTTTTTACTTTTTGAAATTTTTTTATTGTTTTTTACTTTTTGAAATTTTTTTATTGTTCTTTTGGTAAACTTCAAGTTGGTTGCTAGGCTACTTGTGTTACCGAGAGAAGAGGAATGGACTTCTTTTTTTTCGGGCCCTTTTTTTTTTTTTTTTTTTTTTTTTTTATAATTTTGACAAATCCTTAAAATAGTACCATTAAAGATTTTTTGTCTCAACTTATTAACCTATTGAATTTTACCCCCAATTCATAGCCTTCCTTTCTCCTTCCCTGTCAAGATGAACAATGCGGCTAAGCGTGCAGATTGTTGGTTTGGCGCGAAGAGAGCTTCTCCAGGTCCAGTTGCAGTCGCTGTGTCTGCTGATTCGGATGCTTATGCTTACTATTCTCCCTCTGTCCTAGCTCCAAGATCTCAGTTTGTTGCAGAAGGCGACTAACCAATCTCTTGTTTAAATAAACTAGATGCTAGGAGATGTTTGATTCGTAGGGCGGGGAAGAGGGCCAGACAAGCAATAAGTTCTTCCATTATGGCTATTTTTAGAGTAAGTATTTTGACAAATTATTATAGATAATTTTACAAATGTCACTGGCGACGGGCGTAATTTAACAGATTATTATCTAAAATTTAACAAATTATTATCTATAATTTGACAAATTATTATAAAAAGAGACCTAGCCTATCACAGTAAAATGGTAGAACTCCAGAAGAATATGTTTAATGGTCATTTTTTACAATTTTCATTTTTTTTTAGAAAATTGTAGATTCTACTTTTTAAGTACCTAATTTATTAAAAATACTAATTTTTAAAAAATTCTAAAAAATACTCATTTTTAAAAAATTATACTCCTTGACTAGTTCAAATCTAAAGTGTAGAAATATATAAATTAATGTTAAGGGGTAGAAATAAAAAGAGGCTTCATTTTAAGGAGTATTTTAAAAAATTGTCCCTTTTTCTTGAGAATTCTTGACAAATACATCTTAAAAGTGTACAGGTCTTTATTTTTACCCTTTATTCTTGATTAATACCTTTAGTTAAATAACTATGTTAACAAAAGTTTACTTATCAAGAATAAGGGGCAAAAATTTAGACCCTTAAGAGTAATTTCAGTAATTTTTATTTTTTGAGAAAATTGTTAAACTTACCTTTAGAGTGTATGAGCCTAAATTTTTACTCCCTACTCTTCATTAATACACTTTTAACTAGTATAATTATTTGACTAAAAAGATATTAATTAAGAGTAAAGAATAAACTTTAAGGGGTATTTGTCTCTTTTCTCCTTGTTTTTTGGGTTATTGGAGGTAAGAAAGCGGGCTATGAATTACTAAAGGTACGAGGATAGTTTTCTGGTTTATTTCTGCTGACTCATACTTGGCCCAATTTTTAAACGACCAAGTTGGATCAGAAGCTATTTTGGGCCAACAGTAAGCGGGCCTATTTAATTTCTCGTGACCCACCAAATCACAGTTAAAGGGTTCTCCCAACTTGGCTTGGGTCGGCGCATTTACAACAAGAAGTAATTACACAAAATGATATTATTAAACTCCATGTTTAAAAAATGTCTTTTATTCTATAATATCGTCAATCTACTATCTTATAGTTATTGGTATAATATTATTTTAAATATACTCTTTTTATTAGTGGTTAATTATATATAACTAGATTTAAAGATAGTTAATAAAGAATAGAAATGTCATATCGAATTATTTTACAGATTTATGTACAAATATCATAACTCATGGACATTCTTTTTATCATCGATTGCAAAATGGACATATATGTATTCTCTTTATTCATTCTTTACATTGTTTGGAGCTCACTAAACTATCATTCCTAATTTCACAGGTAAAAACGTCATTAAAAGGGAAAAAGAAATCCCCCCTAAAAAAAAAAAAAAAAACAGAGAATTATTATCTCTATTCCCATTTATTTCTTGTGAAGTAAGACAAACCTTAATCTTCTTTTGAAGTAGTATTATTGTTATTGTATCAGTCTATAAATTTATGTGTATAGTTTTTTTCCCCCTTAATGCTAACCAGATATAAATGTGAATGTACGTGAGAACGTGCTCCATCTAATATAACAAAAAGTGACAATTTTTTAAAGAAGGAAAATATGGAGAAAGGAAGTATCAAACGTATTAGAAAAATGGTCCAATCCAATACATAGCAAAAGACGATTCTGGAGGCTCGAGACTCGTCCATGGTCTTCTGAATGATTCTCTTTCAGTTTGGATGTTTCTTCCGTTGTAGTTGGTGCTTTTCTGCGCTGTGATTGCCACCGTAACTTTTCACAAATCACTAGCAATCTTGCTCTTTTTACCAATTACAATAAAATGGCTTTACTCACATATTATTATTCTGAAAAGCAATGACCGTTTCCCTTCTTCAATGAAAATTACTTCCACAAAACCTGGAACACATGTAATAATGTATGAGTAAAAACTTAGGAGTTTCTCCTATAATCTTTCTATCGGTAGGATTGTTGTGAAAAATCGTAACGTAAGTATACGCTATCGCAATCAAGTAATATAATAGTGAATAAAAGTATCATCCTACAAGAATTGTTGTTTACTAATTATCGGAATTATATTAGCCCCAATTTTATTTAAATAATCAAAAATAGAGTTTATAAACTTAATTAAAGTAAAACTAAAACAATTAAATAAATTAAACATTGCTAAGCAGTGGAATAAAATTCAATAGATCAGGACTCTAGGGTTTATGATTTCACCAAAATTAATCTTGTTCAAATTCCCATAATTCAAGAAAATTAACATTCAATCCTATACTGACAGTAATTTCTCTAAAGCAATTATTATTATTTCTCAAGCAATAATAATTTTAATCCAACAAGCAAACTCTACATCTCTATCAGACTTCTAAACCTGTTGAAAATCATTAAGTGCAAGAAATTCAAAAGAAATGCACAAGCAACATAGATATCTCTATCCTATGAACAACTCATGGCATTTCAATTAAGAGCTCATTTAATTATCACCTCTCGGTCTCAAATCAAATACAAAATCATATAATAGTTGGCCAAACAATCACAAGCATTCAGAATAAATTGAAATATTCAGCATATATGGATTAAACATCAATTACTTAAAAAGAAGATTGAGAATCTGAACATTCATAATCCGACTACATTGTAGCCCTAGAAAAAGAAATTAATTCATCTCTAAACAAAATAAATTTCTAAACAAAGTCTTAATCATTGGAAAGGAAAGAAAAGAACTAGTTTAGAGTTGAATTGAAGCATCTTCGTCTCCGGATTTTAGCCGTTGTTCTTCTCCGTACTCAATTCTCCTTTCTCTTCTTGAATCTCCTCTCAAGAGTTAGCTGTCACTCCAGTCCAAAAGTCCCCTTTAATTGCCCTAGAATCATCTATTTATAGGTTTTGAAGCATTGGGGCAAAACGGATAAGTTTCCTCAAGATTTGCCTTCAAAACGCGTCTTTTCTCGCGTCGTAGCGCCGTGGCGCTGAGTTCCTAGCGCTGCGGCACTGGCTATGCAAAAACATATCAGTTTTGGAGCGTTGCAGTGCTGTCATGGGCGCCAAAACGCTACCGGTTCTATCCAAACGTGCTAGTACCATAAAAATCAGCGCCAAAACGCTACAAATTGGCGCCTAAACGCTGTGTTTGTTGTCTTTTTCCACTAAAAGTTGTCCAAAACCTTCTAAATCATAGACTTTCACTTAATCTTCAAACAAAAAATAAAAACACACATAAAAGTTAATAAAAACCTCAAAAACTAATTAGATATTTAAATGTAAAAGGATACTAAATGAGCGAATAAAACTCACTCAGTAAAGATCAGTTTCAAACCGTAAAATTTAATATAAATCACGTCATATTGAAAAAGTACACTGGATAAATAATTTTTAATACAGTGGAAGATAAAATCTTTTTGATAGTTGATTTTACCCGCCGTAGAAACTCTCTAAAAATACTTTGAAGCATAAAGTAATCTTGACGATGGAGTTAGTGCCCTTTCAATATTCGGATTTAGCCCATTGGTCTATAATTTGGGCTTAAAAATTGCAAGTCTAAGCAAATTAACATACTTGGCGTGTGTAATTATACATTCCATGCATGGTCTAGAAGTAAAGGAAGATGCTTGACGTGGCCCATCAGATTGGAAATCCCAGCCATTGTCATAGCTTGCTGAAAAAATAAAAAATAAAATAAAAAACTTAGGTAGCCCTAGGTGGGGTGCTTGCGAATTGAAAATGGGTATTTTCTTTTTATATTGGTGGGTAATGACGAGTATAGATCGAATATGGAGAGAGAGAGAAAAAAAAAAAAAAAAAACCTCACTCATTTTGCCCTACCATATATGAATTGTCCATCTTGCAAGCAAATATTGAGATATATTATTCTATTTGTTACTATTAAAGTTGAGTCGGGATTAAATATGAGTGAGCCTAATCGTGTGAGACTCACTTAAGTGAAAATTGTTGAATTTATTTTTAAAGTGTATGAATTTAGATATTTTACTTCTTACTCTTAATTAATACATTTTTAAAAATGCACAGTTGATGTTTTGACAGTTTTCCAACAGAACGGTGTAGTGCGGTTTTGCAAAAAGCGGTTTGGAAAAAAATCCAAACCAAAACCGCCTATTCTAAATGGCGGGGCGGGGGGTGTTCGGTTTGAAGCTTATTATATATTTGTTGAAAATGCTAAAAGAAAACAAATAAAAAACGTAGAAGAAATTTTATTGTATGTTTTTACTACGTTTTAAATTAAGACAATTATTATTAATTTATTGTGTTTTAAAGCTATAGAAAAG